ACTACACACAGGTATATACGGTAAATAAGGACATGGGGGCCAGGGTTTTTTTTTGGGGGGGGGGGGCAGCATTATATGCGGATTTTTAACATCCACGGCTATCTCTGTTACGTAACCCCCGCGTATGTTAAGGGCCGACTGTATTGCTATTTGCATGATAAAATAAATTTCCTTTTCTGTCTGTCAATACACAGCATCGTTGGATTTCTAAGCTCAATGTGGAAACAGAGGTGTTGCATTCAGTTTTGCAGTTGTTGCAGGATAAAAGTGAGTTTATGGATGACCTTGAACGTCTATGTGTTTTATTTTTTGATGAAACAAGTGTTGCATATCCTCTATGCACCTAAACAGTGAGTTCAGTGCGCAGTGACACGGGGAGTGAATGGCTCATGGATGTAACTTTTACATTACAATTTATATACTGATATGGCCAAGAATATTTTGAACGGCTTCCTTGTAAAGGTAGAAGCAGCTGGATATCCAGTAGTTGCTGTAGTCAATGATCTTAGCTCCACTAATGTGAGATTGAACCAACTGCTGTCAGCAACTTTAAGGCATGTTCTGGGTGGTTTGAGCAAGTGATGCTCCTTTCCATCTAACACCACCTCACTCCTTCAATCCATAAATTGAGGCATCACTGCCATTTTCAAGGCCTAATAACTCTGGCAAATGATGAGGGACTTGTAAGCCAGCAAGTTTTGGAACAAAGTGTCATTGAAAAATTTGAATGGAGTGTGGTGCATGATTTGGTCTAAGTACATGCACAACTTTTTGGGATTCACCGATGTGGGAAAAGTGTTTCAAGACATCGTTAACCATGTTCAGGAGGTTGGGTTTGAGGAGGAGGTGAACAGGGAGGATGTTGAGAACCTGCTCCAGTCACACAGTTGCATGAAGAATTCATGCAACTCCAGCAACAGAAGCTTTGTGAAGAAGAGGAGCAGTTAGAGGAAGAACCTGAGAGGTAGCTCAATCTCAAGGATGTCACTTAGGGCCTAGTTCTCATTCAGAAGAGGCTTAAGCTGTTCTGTGTCAAAGTCCCTAGCAGGGAAATGAGTGGCACAGTTGCTTCTGCCATGAAGAGAGACATCCAAGATGCACCATCGGCTGAGGAGCAAGACAACCCACCACACCATCTCCTCCTTTTTCAAATTGAGGGCAACTCCTGTATCTCCAACTTTCAGTCACACTCCTTCCACCAGTGGAAATTGTTCCACTCCTTCCACCTCTAATGTGATTGTGGTGTCCCTAGCAGACAGCAGTGATAACATGGACATCCCTCTTCATCTCACTGATTAAGTGAGCCCTGACCATCATCCTTTAAGGTAATGCAATACAGTACACCAGTGGTGTCAAACTCAAAACCTTTCGAGGGCCAATTCTAATTATAATTACCATTTTCAGGGCCAACACAAGTGCTATATCACATATTTGCAGGATGGAAGTTTACAGCTTCACACATTGCCTTACCTGGCTTACCAGGAATACCCCATTTGGGTTTGTCTAATCTTAAGTACGTAAAATTCATTTTACTAAATAAACATGATTATATCTATTTCTATCATAATTTCACGGGATGATAAATTTTACCGTCATCCCGCGGGCCACACCTGATCATCCCAAGGGCCACATTTGGCCAGCAGGCAATGAGTTTGACACCCCTGCAGTACAGTATACCAAATTTATGTTTTATTGAATTTTTAATGTGTTAGGTAGTAAATTACATTAGTTAGGTACTCATTTATACAGGCTGGACCTCGCTAATCCAGGAAGATTGGGACCAGACAAATTCCGGATTAGCTAAAATTCTGAATTATCGAAGCTGAGCTTAAAGAAGGCAAAATAGTGCATAAAATGTAATATAACTGTCTAATTTCTTCAGTATAGAAATTTTTTCTAAAATAATGTCAGATGCTTACATTTTGCTGCATTACAACCACTTCCACTGCCAGCTGGTCTCTTAGGAGGCATATTTAGGGGTAAGTTATAAGAATCTAAAGGTAAAATAGTGGCAACAGCCACTAGAACTGAGCAATGACACTGTCCAGAACCATCGAAGCTACCAGACTATCGGGTCTCGGATTAGCGGGATCCAACCTGTAGTTGTTAGGTTGTCTTTTGCTCTGAACTGATTTCATGTTTTTGGGTATAATATTGGGTTTTCTTGTCATTGGGGAACTGATTCCTATTTTTCCATATGTAATGTTATATGTTATAAAAATATTCACTTAAAGTTTGGCTTTCAAGGAACCTAACAGGTATGTGCATTCTGTACAAAGTAAATCATACCACACTTATCTACTGTACTTTGCTAATCCTTTAAGTCTAACCTCCATCAGTAAATAAGCTTTCAGATTTGGATCACTGACTTCCCTCTCAATAGTTTTTTGTGCCTCTTTTCCTCCATCAGAGTAATATTTTGCAAGTTGTTCAGCATAATCAATCCATACACAGTTAGCACAACCTGACATACAACAGGTGGTTGGTGCTGGTGGTGGAGACTTATCAGCTTTTAGCATAAAAAATAAAGAGTTTGTGGAAGATTCCTTTACATGACACAGTGGACTCTCACACTCCTCCTCTAATACATTCTCTTTTATATGTGATGTGTCACTATATGATGAACATTTTACCTTATTGCTCCTTGTCATTTGAGAAAATGTTTCCTTATCATTGCTCTCCTGTTTGAAAGTACTTGTAGTCACAGAGTCAGACCCATCATTGTCTTTATAGGCACCACTACTATGCTTCTGCTGTCCTGGAAGTGCTAATTCAATTGCCACAAAGCCAAACTGTTTGGGGGATCTTGTTAGCGTCCTTCTTACAGAGCATAATGTTAACATCTTTCAGGCTACTGTTTGGTCAACACCTTCATTTAAAATTTCTGAAAAACAAAGAAACAACTTCATTTATGAAAAATGCAAACAAAAACTAAATTTGTAAATAATGTACATGTATATACTGTATATACAGTACAGTGGTCCCTCGGTTAACGAGCACAATCCGTTCCAGCAGGTTGCTCGTTAACCGAAAAACTAGTTAACCGAAACCATTGTTTCAATGGGTTTTTGGGTAATTGGTTCCAGCTCACCGAAAATTGCCTAAATTCAACAAAAAAGGTAGAAAAGTTCGCTTACTTTGAGGTGTGTATGTAGAAGGCTCCTGGATGATGATGATGATGATGATGGGAATTAGAATGGGGGTGCAGGAGAAGGAAGAAGAGAAGGCATTGGGGTGGAAGAGAAGTCACCCCATGGTACCATTTCACCCATAAAATATTAGCTCTCTTGGTGTAATTCAAGATTATTTTCTTTAAATCAACACTGCACTGCATTATATATTGTCAATATGTAAAATATATTTCAAAATGACCAATAATTTGCTTGGAAACAGAAAAAAAGCGTTTAGTTGAAGAGAGTCTCAAGCAAGATGCTACCTCCAGTGAAAACAGAGAGAGACTAACGCCTGTTTGCTGTGTTAAGAGGCTGGATGCCGCGCATTAAACTAGTCACTTTACCTTCAATTATGTTCAATAATTGTTAAAATGACTAAAAAATTGAATATTAAACTTTTAAAATTATTGAATAGTATAAACTTCTTGATATTTACTAAAATAGTAAGGAATTTAAGCCCTAGAACCGATTAATGTATTGGCGGACTGATACTAAAGCTGGTTGCCCGGTCAGTGCAAGCGAAAACATGTTGAGGTCGGTTCGTAAGAACTTCGTTAACCGAATTTTTTTTCGTTAACCGAATTGAAGATCCTTATGGAAGGCAGTTCGTTAATCGAAATTACGTTAACCGAGGTGTTCGTTAAACGAGGGGTCACTGTATATATATATATGTATATATATATATACAGTCAACCCTCACTTTACGCGGTCCCACATTCCGCGTTTCCACATTTACGCGGTGCCCTGCCAGAACCCAGGATGCTCACATTCCGTGGTGGGTGTACCCCTTTACACGGTGAAGTATAATTTTTTTATTTAGCTCATAAAATTCATACAAATTATCCAGCCAGAATATAATTTACATTGCTGGAATTCTTACAATTTGATGATCATTTTGAATATAAACATCATAGATTTTGCATTAGACATACAAATTTTAGATATAATGTTTACTCTTGAGTAAATATGTTATCTTTTGTGCAAAATATATGGTATTTATATTCAAAATATTCCTGGTCTTACAAGGAATCCAGCAATGTCAATTATATTATCCTAACTTT